GAAGTGTGAGAGAAAAGAGGAAAGTATAGAACGGATAACAGCAAGAGGTTGTGATTTGTCTTGTCGTTTTGTCTGAGGAAGGGAGAGAAAGTGCGACAGGGAAAGGAGGGAGATGAAGCAAAGAGGGAATGGATGGAGGGAACCGAAGGAAAAGAGTGGGTGGACAGTGTTATCGAGCAAATACAATGTTTCTCAAACATAAATAGAGAATGGAGAAGGGAAGGGTCCATCGGTGTTGTGGAAGTGGGAGGGAAAAGAGGAGAGGAAGACAGGGGTGAAGGGAGACCAAGAGAGAGGTGGACAGAGTGTGAGATCACTGTGAGAGTGGTTGGTGTTAGTATCTGGAGAGTTATTAGTGACCTATTTTCTCTTTCTCTGTTTCATTAGAAGAACAAAGGGTCCATTAGCTTTGTGTTTTTCCTGTGTGCCTGCATGTTACAGTGGCTGCAGCACTTTGCAACATGTATTGATTCACCAGTGGAACTAGGCCAAGGATCCTCTGAGAATATTGTAGGTGTGGGTTTGATCACAAATACAGACATTACACCACTCAGCTGGACTCAACTGGACTCAACTGGAGTGATGAGCATCACGATCAAAATCATAGCCAGAACAATAAATGACATAAAGCTGACATAATTGTGCTGATGCATCAGTTTCCCTGATGTTGTTTTAATAGTTTGAGAAAAGGAAAATTGAGGTTAATGACCCCGCGTATGACTCTTGCCATTTCACATACACCCTCAGTATTTTGAAAAACAGACACTGAAGAATACCAGGCACTTTAAACACACACACACACACACACACACCTAAACACACACTTACCTTTCACACTTTAAGACATGAGGAGGAAATGGGCTCTCAAGGGGGGGGAAGACTTTATGAGTTACGCCTTGTAAAGCGTGCAACGGTAAAATCTTTCCCCCCAGGCTCTTACTGATGTGATGGGCTCTTTTATTGGGGTCAGGAAAGGGCGTAGCACTGAATCTAAGAGTGTGTGAATGAGAGAGAGAGAGTATGTATGTGTGTTTGTGTAGTCCAATGAAACTGTTGACCTGACATTAAGTCTTAGTTTCGTAGGTTTCCCAGGTCACCAAGGTTACATATTTATTGTATTCAGGTGGCATCTCAGTTTATCACACACCCTCATCTATGAACCCACTTTTAAATGTACACACACAGACATACAATTACCTTCATCTGAGGAAAGAGTTTAACACAAACATTCTCTCACTCACTCACACAGTTTATTGAACTAACTCTCTTAAATGGCCTATGGTCATTTAATGATGCAACCAAAGGAAAGCCTGTTAATGTGCTGTATTAGGTGTGTGTATCACATAAAGATAGAGATGTGCATATAAACAGCACATAGTAAGAGCTCTTAGAATGTTATTTGCCTTTGTGCTTTTTACATGGCAGTATATTTGTTAGCAGCAGGCTTTTATGCTTTTATTTTTTATAAAACACTTATCATTCTAGGTGAGTTCATTCAGTATAAAATGACCTTGTTCTAGTTGCCTGTGGCTCTTTGCTCCAGGGCCGTGAAATAATTTATAGCAAATAATTTGTACCAAAAAGGAGTTTTTAAATGTCTTTTATAGAAAATTGAGTTATATATGTATGTTATTGATAATATCTAACTGTGCAATAATGCAGTGGAGGATGATTAATTATTAATCCAATTTACTTAAGTCAAGCTCAAACATACTATGCCAGACAGTATATGATCCAAATTAGTTTTCTTTTCTTTCGCTGACTTGTGTTCATTGTTTACCCATTTTGATAACATCCCTGTTCACAGCTAACGGGGTCTGTAAGTAAATAAATATAGTATAACTCACTTACAGTCTCTTTATTCTGTGAATGCTCTATCTCCGAGTGCAGTGGGGTTTGGCGTGTTTTGGGATTAGTGTGTGATTCGTAATCCCAAGGTGGCATTTAACTGGAAGCGCAGTGTAGAATCACACTTCAGACGATGATTCATCTGTGCTAACAAGCACAAACAGACAAAAGATCTCTCCTCCTCTCTCGCCTTCCCTCTTAGGAGACACAAAAATACAGTAGTCTTTTCATCTGTCCTGCACCTCTGAGCCCTGTCGACAAAATCCTACCCTCTTTAGAAAACACATGGTATACATCAAATAAAAAATAGATTTCACAGATTTCTTTTAAACATTTTTTGTCACAGTACACTATTAAGTTGAGTTAGCACACTCTAACTACCTATGATAGATGTCAGATATCAGATGTCTTGCACTATTATCCATCTATCCTTTGATTCTCTATACCACACTTGCATTAGGAAGAGGCAGAGAACACACAGAGGCTGCATCCCATTCAGGGTTTGGGTCTTTTAAAGGATGTGGTTCATACATTTGTGTCCTTTTGAGGACTGAGGGTCGGACTGAACCTACAATTCCTCCTCAAATGAGACAGTCTAGTCTTACAGAGACCAAAACTAATGATGCATTCATGCAGTTTCTGTCAACCCATAATGTAAAAAATGTAAGGAACAGAAATTGCATATCCTCTGCCTGTCAGCCTGTGTATTTTATCCTGTCAGCTGCTTTGCTGTTTAGGACATTCAGGTCTTTACATCTGTCATGACTTAAACTGTCTTGTCCAAAACAATCTCTCATATTTTGTGCAGTCAGCATTCCAAGCTGGAGATAATTTACCATGAACTTCCGTTGATTCGAATTTCACAGTCTGGTCATCGTTCATGTTGCTCAGCTTGTTCCATCCTTGTTTTTGCATTTTTACTTTGCAGACCCACTTGTACTTTCACGGTCTGTCTTTTAAATTTATGTTTCCTTGACACTGTACATGACTTGACAGTCTGTACCAGACTTTTTAAAGAATACAGTAATGAAATATGACATGAGTTGTTGTTTTAACAACCTTTATGCATCAAACTTACAAAAGCAAATACCTAGAACTAGTTTGGTTTGGTTTGTCCGTTATGCAGATAAAAATAGCTCATTCTAAGGTAACGAAAAAACAATGATTCTTATTTTCAGGTGATGATACACTTATGAAAATATATCTATGAATATCATATTCAATTTCTTCCAATTGATCCTTCTAAATTGTACACACTGGATCCTTAAAGCATCAATAATTAAAAACTCGGGATATTCTTAGAGACTTCATAATAACATTTCAAAATGCAAAAAACATTTTCATTGTATCTGAAGAAGGCCATTTTGACCAATAATGGAATAAAGGGTAACTGCCTGGATCATATTTAGCAGAAAGTTACTTGAAAACTGTATTCAGTTACTCATTACACATTGAAAAATACATTACTTTATTACATCACTTTACTAATTACTCAGCAGTAAAAGTAATGCATTACTCAGCTCAGCTCAATTAAAAGTGCCTTCAAACAAATCTTCCACACCCGCACATCACATCTTTTGTATTTAACAGGTGTAGGAATAGAGAATGAGGCATTGTGATTTAACAAGCAGGCGGCCCTACTATTTGGAGTGAATTACTGACCATCGAGCTGCTAGCTTAGCCTCTGTGACTGCACACAGCTCTCCAGAAGACCCAAGAAGCGTGGTTACACACCCTCCAGCTCTCAACAAAGCTAGGTGAATCCACAACATGTGAAGAAGACAACTCCATTATTACTATCTGCGCACACTTCAGAATCCATCCAATGTCACAGTGTAAATATCAAATATATTTGATGTTCGGGGTGGCTCAGATCCGTCTCTGAGACAGTTGGTGTGGTTAAGACTGAATCCATAAAGCACTCATTACACCTGACACTCTGAACCAGTCTGCTTTAAGCCTCTCTCCCAGTTGTCAGAAGGGGAAATCTGGGGTAATTCGTCTGGATAATCATGAAGCATGCAGCAGGAAGAAAGATTTAGTGACAAACAGAGAGAGAAAGACAGATGGACTGAATCAGAGAGTGATATAGGTGAAAGATCAAAAGAATGAGAGAGATAAAGACTAATTCACCCAGGCAAGCCAAAGTAGGAAAAAAGAGAGCAATAATAAGCTGCTAGAAAGTACCTCAAACTTTAAAACATGTTCAGCTAACAGAGAAAAAGGTTGTTTATATGTTAAAATGTTCTGGAACTCACTCAGATTGGATGACGCAGCGCTTTGCCGCCTCTGATATCAAAGAAAACAACAGCAGCTGTCAGGCGGTAAATTGTGGCTGCTAACAGTTTGTGACAGGAGTGGGAGGAAAGGAAGAGCAAGAGGAGGAGAGAAAGCTGAAACAGGATTCCTGCACTTCAGGCTTTTGATATGTGGCAGTGAGCTGATGGTAGAGAGGAGGGGGTGAGGAGAGAGAAAAAGGATTTAGGATTGAGGGAGAAAGAGATAACGAAAGAGTGACAGGTAAAGGAAGAGAAGGGAGGTGGGAGGCAGAAGTGAATAAGATCTTAAAAGAGAGAGAGCATGTTCATATTGATGTAAGTGTTAAAATAACTAAAAAGCTGAATGTTGTGACTCTTTTGGAGTTTTTTGTCGTGCCTTAGGTGTAGTTGAGTTCATATGCCTTCTAGTAACAATCTTTCAGGATTAAAATCTGTTCATAGTTTTGAGTTGGGTAGAAAGTGCCCTGAAAGTGTGAGTGGGTGATGCGATGCCAACATGACATTAGTACTAAACACATGGATAGATGAGATATAAGGAACTGCAAAGACAACTCCAAAGGTTTAAGAAAGGATACATTTCTATATCTACAACTCTTAGCACTCACTTAGAACTATTTTTTTAGTACTCTTTGCATTTATGAATGTGTGTCTTGTGCCTGTTGATTACAGTTTCATTTCTGTGGTTCGTAAAGTATCAGACCAAAAGTTATTTAATTTTGCAGATTAATGACAAAATCATCCAGTGCTACAGTGTCGGTTGCGTCAATCCTTGTAATGGAAGGATTTTCTCTTGAAACTGTGTTTTGTGAGGGATTAAGTTGCAGGTTTGCTTCACTAGCATCTGATTTTCTGTTTTCTGCATCTTACCCTCAGGTGAAAGTGATGGTGCGTGTGTGCCCAGTGTCTCAGTCGGATGCAGCTGAGTCCAGTTCCTTCCTTAAAGTGGATCCCAGGAAGAAACAAATCACCATCATGGACCCCTCAGCCAATCAGACACCAAGCGCTGCCTCCCAGAAAAAAGCAGGAGCCAATCAGGTCCCTCCAAAGATGTTCACCTTTGATGCTGCATTTGCTCCTGATGCATCACAGGTACAGTAAGAGAAAAGAAAGCAAAGGACTTGTGATTTTGATATAAAACCTTTCATAACATCACATGGAAAGACAAAGTTATATTAAAATAATTACAGATATACACAAAAAGCTGGACTCATGCCACATTCACGTCATAGTTAGTGGGTGAGTGGATCAGCCTCCAAGTTGTAATTCCAAGTTGGAAATATTTTAAAATTCTGACTAAAATATTTTACTGAACTAAAGAAAATGTTTCTTTTTAACACTTAAAGGCAACAACACAAAACCAATTCTCAAATAGACCAAGTGAATCTATACGTTCAGGTTTTAATGCTTTTCTCGACCCTCTTCCTACATCTCTCCTCATTCCTGTGTCTCTCGTCTGCCTGTTGCTAGGCGGAGGTGTGTGCGGGAACGGTTGCCGAGGTGATTCAGTCGGTGGTGAATGGAGCAGATGGCTGTGTCTTCTGCTTTGGACACTCCAAGCTCGGTAACACACACACACATGCACGCAGACTACAAAATCAGAGCAAGTGTGTCTTGTGAGTCATCGTTGGTGTGTGTGTGTGTGTGTGTGTGTCAGTGTGTCAGTCTTTCACTTGGCCGTCTCTCCACTGGCCCTCATCTATCAGAGAGAGAAAGAAGAGGATTAGTGTCTGCTGATGCTGAAAGCATTCTCAGTCTGCTCTGTCTGTGTTTCTGTCTTCCTTTCTCTCTCTCTAATCCTTCTGAAGCTGGTTTTCAGAGAAGCTGTCTTAAAAAGGGTCAGGACCCCTTACTGCACACTGTCACATGCCTGAACCCACACACATGCACTGGCACAGTCACCCACACACACACACACAGACATGTTCTTCATCCCTGGGTCAGCCCCTGTTGTGTCTATCCCTGTACATGGCAGCAGCATTATCCGTCTTGGCTTGTGATCTTCATACATCCAGTTGGAGTTTGTAAGTCCCCTTGAACTGCTGGCAGAGGACGAAAGCAGCGAATTTAAATGCTGCAGTTCAGCATGGAACACTTCTGTGTTAAAGGCTGAGCCATTTACTGGAACAAACAGTAATGAAGTTCTGTGAAAAACATGCACCACATCAACCACTGAGTTTCCTTGTTCTGCTGCAGGGCATTTGTCCATTGCCAAATCTGTAGTAAAAGTAAACTCTTTTACAAATGTATTATGAGTTAATATTTGTCTTTTTAATGTGGCTGTTTGGTTAAAGAATACTTGGTTTTACCGTCAAAAGTTACAATAACTAATTAGAGTTCGGCAACGTAGCAACAACAAGTCCAATGGGGCAAGAAACAAAAGCAGTCAGACAGGTTGAGAAAATAACAGTTTAGACAGTTTAAGTAAAGTTTAGATGACTGCCTCCAAATTAAGTGGTTTATATGTAAAACCATTTCATTTGGCGGTAAAACTTTAAGCATATGGGGCCCCAGTGGTCTAGGGATTAAGGCCATGGCCATGGATTGACCATGAACTGCAACATACCTGGTTGGAGTCTGGCTTGGACCTTGTTTCAATGTTTTGTCATTCCCCTTCTCTCGCTCCTTGTTTCCCACTATCTCTGTGCTGTACTCAACAACTGGATATATTAAGAAAAACTGGAACTGGATGTTCCAAGAAGGCAAATCTTGATACAACATGTTTTAAATGTTATTGGATCAAATTCTGATACTAAAAAGAGTCTTTTTTTTTTTTTTTTTTTGAGGCTCAAAAGCACCATTCTGATGAATGATGAATGAAAAGTCTCATTGGGTCAGTGTGCGTCACATGATACTACAATACCAAGTGCAGCCATTACTCCAAAATGGCCTCACAGCCCAGAACTGTTTCAGGGGACTCGGCACAATCTCAATGACATAACACACCTGTAACGTTGGTAAAAAAGGCTTTATGTCTTCACACATTTTCATACAAGAATGCTAAAGAGTGACTGAGAGCAGAACCGGCCCACTTCTCCCTCAAAAAGGCCCATGTAGGACATATCAAACAAACAGATGCACATATAATCACCACAGCTCTCCCAAGGCACTAACCCAACATGGCGCACACATCAGACAGCCTGTCTAGATCATCATCTTGCCATGTTTACAAGTTTAGATTCAGCTTTCTAATATTGACACATGGAAATGCAGACTGTGTCATGATTCTTGATGACTCATATTTTATAATATGACTGTGACTGAAACCGATATGCCTAACATGCCCCCGAAACAGACCTCTTATTGTCAGTGTTTGATTGTGTTGAATGATAAGCATAAGTGAATGTTCTGGTTTTAATACTGCTTTTATGTGACTGAGAAATCCATCAAAGAGAGTTTGCTCTTTCAATCAGTTTTAGTGTTATATTAATGCTGTGGAGCGGCTCTGACCTTGCTGGTTTCATTTTAAACGGCTGCTGCTGCAGCAGCTGATGAGATCATTCTTTATGATATAGCCCACCTAAGGCCATGGATCTTAACGAGGCTGCATTATAACAGCATTACCTTTTTCCTAATTAAAATGAGGAAAGTAACACATGGAGAATTTATCTTCGGCCCGGTGGCTCTCGGCTGTACACACATACGTATAGGGAAGCACACAAGACTACTCATGTACACACACACTTTCACAAGGAGTAAGCAGGTTTTCACTGAGCAGGAAAAATCCCAAAAGTCCAAATGATACTGAAAAAAATTTATAAACTTCAGGAATGTAATTGAATCATCTGGCTTTAAGTCATGTCTGATGGATTTTGTTGTCAGTTATTGGATTATTGACCTTGTATCATCTTTTAGTAATGATGAATGTCTTTGAACAAATCATACAGTGCTTGCTTGTTCTCTCACACTTTCTTACCCTGTTCACTTTCTCTCTGACAGCATCGCTGCTTGATGAGACCAATTACCGGGAATATACATCAGCTACAGAGACATGGACACACACAGACACTGCTTCATAGCCTGTAGCGTAGCATCACTATATTGCAGTGCTGTGTTAGTCAGTGGAGCAGACAGCTTGTTGACCGTGTCTTGACAGCCTGTGCTGGTCAGAACAGAAGGAAACACTGTATAGCCTCACATATACCCACATAGATAAATTTAAGACTCTCTCATGCAAACACAGTCCTGAAAGGCGAAAAAGAAGGGGAGGGTTGTTCAAGTACTCTGTGGTTATGCTGGTGAGGCATACAGAGCCATTATGACCGAGGGAGTCCATCTGATTTGTTAAATAAAAAGAAATCAACTGGTAAATCAGTTCAGTCAAAGTAAATGGCCCAGGGTTGTTTTAAACAAGCTATTGTAATACAGCTGATTGCAAAATGTAATGCATTCTTTAATAACATTTTGAGATTATATCTCGAAGAGTCCCTTGGAGAACCTTAAAAGCTTAAATTTCAACACCATATAAACACTATTATATAGGAATAAACCATTTCTGACACTAAATACAACACTTTTTGTTGAGCATGTTTACTATTTCTTCTCCAGTTTTTGAAAACAAATGAAGAAATGCATCTTTGTTTTGACAGTAAGTGTAGACACATCAGGAAACAGTGAGGGAGAACAATGTAAAATTACAGTGTAGGTGACAACCTCCCCTACATCCTATCTCTGAACAAATCTGAACACATTTCTCTACACTGCATCACACTGAGTCAGGCTTTTGATGTCCTCTGTTTTTGCGTAAATGTTCATGTCAGTGTGATTGTTGGGTTTGACATATGGCTTTGTTTAGGTGTGTGTTTGATCTCTAAGTCCTGACAGCCGGAGCAGGTGTGTGTGGGGGGTAATCATCATCTTGTGTCTCAAAGGGACAAATCCTGAAGCTCGAACACACACATTTCACACACACATCTATTCATACAAAAGCACTTCTTTCCTGGGAGTCTTTTTTGATGATGTTCCTTTTGATATATTTCCATCTTCTTTCTGTTCACCCTTCCCCTCTTTTGTCTTTCTGTCCGTCTCTTCCAGGTAAATCCTACACAATGATTGGTCGTGATGACTCTCTTCAGACTCTGGGTATTATCCCCTGTGCCATCTCCTGGTTGTTTAAGCTCATCAACGAGAGGAAGGAGAAAACAGGAGCGCGCTTCTCCGTTCGTGTCTCTGCAGTTGAGGTCAGTGTTACTGACGAGACCTCAATTTGAAGCACTCCCTGCAGAGTTGCACAGCTACCATTAGTGATACAGACATTTGAGAAATGAGGCTACTAAGTAGTGGCAGTAGCTATCACTAGCAGTGTAGTATCTCACATCAGTTGCCTATAACTGTAACATTTTTACTGTTGACTTTCCATCTCAAGAAATAACTACTCTGTAATAAGGTTTTAAAGAAGGTTGGATTCTCCCTTTAAGATTGGTCTATCCAGAATGTCATGGATCAATTTGGGAAAGACAGAAAATAAAAGACAATAAGGTGACTACTACTAGTCAGCTAGTGTATATGTGTGTCTCTCTCTATGTGTGTTTGTAGGTTTGGGGAAAAGAGGAGAATCTTAAGGACTTGCTGTCTGAAGTAGCTACAGGCAGTTTACAGGATGGACAGTCACCTGGAGTCTACCTGTGTGAGGACCCCATCTGTGGCATGCAGGTACAAACACCCTTGCACACATTTAAACACACTGTAGCTGATGGTGGCATTAGTTTATGTAACATGACCTACTGTAGATTAAAGTCTGTGAGTTAGTACGAACAGCCTCAGGACTTGTATCAGTATGCTTTACCTTTGGTGGTTTTAGCCTCCGGCAGTTCTCCGTTGTCTCAGCCACTGTGAGATGTGCATGCTTGCACATGCACACACACACCCACTTTGGAGCAGCAGATACAATATAAGCTTTCATATGCTTTTAGAGTCCTTTTTTCTTCCAAAATAAACAAGATATGATTTAGAAACACCAGATTAATTTATTCATCTGTTTTACTTAAAATACGGTTACTGCTTCTGACCGAATCAAAGAAAATGTGTCAAGTGCAAAAAACAAGTTGGATGAATTACTAGAAAAAATATATTTTTGTCTGCTAATAATCAAAGGTCCATTGTGAAACATTTAGGAGGATCTATTGGCAGAAATTGAATATAATATTCATAGGTATGTTTTCATTAGTGTAAATCTTCTGAAAATAAGAATTTATTTTTATCTACAGAGGGAGCGGGTACTACGCACGGGCCACCATGTTTAACTGCCATGTTTCTACAGTAGCTCAGAACGAAACACTGCCTCAGCAGCCACCATGGTTTCTCCTACACGCCTGAGAGGCTGAGCTGTATTCAGATGGTTATAATCTGCAACTTCACCACTAGATGCCATTAAAGCCTACACACCGGTCCTTTAAGCTTTTTTAAAATTGGCTTTGGTTACACAGAGATTTTTTAATTTACTGATAGCTAAACAATCCTCTCTCATTGCCATTATAATTATTATCATCCTCATTCATTGTAAGGTAATAACTACATAGCAGCAATAGTGTGTGTATTTAGAATAGTGCCAAAAACGACAGAGGGTAAGCTACGCGCGCGTGCGTGCGTGCGTGCGTGCGTGCGTGCGTGCGTGTGTGTGTGTGCGCGCAGTTATATGTTTATAGGATTAAAGGGTCTGATACAAGAACATCTGTGTAATCCATAACTAATCTGACATAATCTCATCAGTAATGATATCCTGCGGTACCACACACTCTCCCTCCCTCTATTTTACTCATCTGTGCTTACCTCTATCTCCGTCTTCCATACCTGCAGGCAAATTAGAAAATGCTTTATTTGAATATGCCAATCAGTGCTGTACATGTGGAATCCCCATAGCACACAATATTATCAGTGTTTTGACACTTCTTGGTGGGTAAACTGAGTCTCAGCTAAGATTAAATGGTACCCTCCGTCTTGTCTAGCTCTCTGCCTATATTATTTTAATTTTCTTTCTCTTACTACACATTTTCCAGCTCCAAAACCAGTCTGAACTGCGTGCTCCAACCCCAGAGAAAGCTACCTGGTTCCTTGATGCAGCTATAGCTGCTCGCCACAGTAGCCAAAGCCCCAACCCCACTGAAGAAGAACATAGGAACTCACACATGCTGTTTACATTACACATATACCAGTATCGCATGGAAAAGACAGGCAAAGGAGGGAGTAAGTATATTTGCTCTAACCAAGCTATTATGCTATGAACACTGTTATTAATGGTGCCACTTTATCTAATGTAATTATTAAACTAAAACCTAACAACAACACATGATTGATTACACCTAATTCTACTGCTGCAGACACAAAACTATTGCTGTCATAACACCCATTGACTACTGTGAGTCGTACATCTGATAATCATTGTAGAATAAAAGCTGACACAAACATGCTGTTTACTATTAAAATATTCACCACATGGAAGATAAAGCGAGGAGTGAGTGTACACAAGGATAGGACAGATCAAACTATTTATCTATAGCCACTATGGATAAATAGCCAGCTTAAGCATCAGAATTCTTGATAGATTAGTACACATACAGTGCCTTGCAAAAGTATTCACCCCCCTTGGCATTTTCGTGTTTTGTTGCCTCACAACCTGGAATTAACATGGATTGTTTGAGGATTTGCATCATTTAATTTACAGAACATGCCCACAACTTTGAAGATGTTTTTAATTTTTTATTGTGAAGCAAACAACAAATAGGACAAAATAACAGAAAAAGTCAATGTGCATAACTATTCACCCCCCTAAAGTCAATACTTTGTAGAGCCACCTTTTGCGGCAATCACAGATCAGAGTCGCTTTGGATAAGTCTCTATGAGCTTGCCACATCTTACCACTGGGATTTTTGCCCATTCCTCCTTGCAAAACTGCTCCAGCTCCTTCAAGTTGGATGGTTTGCGCTTGTGAACAGAGATCTTTAAGTCTGACCACAGATTTTCTATTGGTTTGAGGTCTGGGCTTTGACTAGAGCTAGGCCATTCCAACACATTTACTTGTTTCCCCTTAAACCACTCAAGTGTTGCTTTAGCAGTGTGTTTGGGGTCATTGTCCTGCTGGAAGGTGAACCTCCCTCCTAGCCTCAAATCATGCACAGACTGGTACAGGTTTTGCTCAAGAATATCCCTGTATTTAGCACCATCCATCTTTCCCTCAACTCTGACCAATTTCCCAGTCCCGGCTGCTGAAAAACATCCCCACAGCATGATGCTGCCACCACCATGTTTCACTGTGGATGGTGTTCTTTGGGTGATGTGATGTGTTGGGTTTGCGCCAGACATAGCGTTTTCTTTGATGGCAGAAAAGTCTCATCAGACCAGAGCACCTTCCTCCATACATTTTGGGAGTCTCCCACATGCCTTTTCGCAAACTCAAAATGTGTCATTTTGTTTTTTGCTGAAAGTAATGGCTTTCTTCTGGCCACTCTGCCATAAAGCCCAAATCTATGGAGCAGTGTTTGGTTAGTGGTGCCTCTTGCTTAGGTGTTGCAGCCTCGGGGGCCTTTCAAAAAAGGTGTGTATATGTACTGACAGATTATGTGACACTTAGATTGCACACAGGTGGACGTCATTTCACTAATTATGTGACTTCTGAAGGTAATTGGTTGCACCAGAGCTTTTTATGGGCTTCATAACAAAGGGGGTGAATACATATGCACATGCCAATTTTCAGTTCTTTATTTCTAAAAAATAGTTTTATGTATATATTTTTCTCATTTCACTTCACCAACTTAGACTATTGTGTTCTGATCCATCACATCAAATTCAGATTAAAAAAACATTGAACTAAAGACTGTAATGTAACAAAATAGGTAAAAAGCCAAGGGGGTGAATACTTTTGCAAGGCACTGTACCTATGAAAGACTGTATGATACCTATATAGATTCTGTGTTTAGATTAATCCACACAAGCACACGTCTACATAAATAACAGTTGTAAACTTTAGAGGACTAGGTTTCCGTCTACAGAATTCAGAAAAACAACTCTGCTTTGATGTATATCATACTGTATACTATTATATATTATCAGATTGATTAAAATCTTCCCTCACAAATCAACTGACCTCTTGATTGAGCACCATTTAAAAGCCAATCTGAATTTTTTTGTGATAAGCTACATTTGTAGAATAAGCAGAAGAAAATTAAATTTAAGTCAGAAATCCAAGACTTAAAGATGAATTTGTTTTTTATTTGAATGTTTCCTGACTTTATTATATTCTCTCTTATATCCTTACCCCTTACAATCCTCTTGTCTTACCAACATTTTTGACAATTCTTTTCACTTTGCAAGTGTCAGGAGGTCGCAGTCGCCTCCACCTGCTGGACCTTGGCAGCTGTGATGTCAAAGTACTTGGAGGAGGAGGAGGAGGAGGAGGAGGAGGTGCAGGAGGTGCAGTAGGTGGTAAAAGCAGGGATAACTCTTCACCCAGTTCGGCCCCTCTGTGCCTTTCTCTGTCTGCCCTTGGCAACGTGATCCTGGCCCTGGTCAACGGGAGCAAGCACATCCCATACAAGTAAGGTGGTGTGCGCGTGTGTATATGTACGTGTGAGGAGACTAGGAGAGGAGAGGATAAAGGAAATGTGCTAAGATGCTTTGAATAAAGTAATGAAAAGAAACTGAGGTAGAAAACAGACAGCTGGATACAAGAGGCCCAGTTAACAATTTGGTGAAGGAAGCGTGGAGAGGAGTGAAAGGTGAAATGAGTAGGAAAGCAGGAGGTTTTGGAGCTGGAGGGGAAGAGGAGAGCGAAGCAGACGAGAGATCTCTTAAGTTGTTTCACGTTTTGGGGACTTAATGTTATAAACAACAACAGCTGCTGTTACATATTCATGGCATTCATTTTGCTGGTTAACTGACTGGCAATGAGAGCAAAGGAGAGATGGAGAGATAATACAGACAGAAACTGTAGCCAGTAAAAAAAATTATTTTTTGTTTAGTGTGGCCAGGCAGTATACAATATGTACTGTATATGGACCAAACTGTACTGTAAATATCCTAATTTTACCTTTCCCTCCAATTAATTTCACTTTTCTTTCCTTTTTTCTCCTTGCTCCTCCACTCTCCTTAAGGCTGTGTAGCTCTCTGCTTCTTACCTGGTTAATTTATCTCCAGTTTTTGTATTTACATTGCAAAACAACCTGCTATCTAACACTGAAGCTGCAAGCAAAGCGGTGCTGAGTGTGGTTTGACACTGGTGACTCAAAGTTCTGTTGGATTGTGAGGGGATTTGGACTGGTTTAACAATGTACGCCATGCTACTGCCACTTCTCCAAAACGAAGGACTGAGAACAAGTCACAGAATCACAAATCCCACAGCAAAGGCAGGGGAGCACCATTACGCTCACATGGATGTCAGTGGAGACAAGTGGAGTGTGTCACCACGGGGCTGTAGGTTTTAGAGGACGAACTAATTATTGATTAAAAATGTGGTTGTTGGTGTTTTTGAGCAGCATGTAGCCATGCTCAATTTTCGTGATCATACAGTACAGGACTTTGGTGGTAGCATTTGGAGACAATGAGGTACAAACTAAACAGAACCTTCAAAATTTGAATAACACGACCAGAGTCAACATGAAGGGTCTATCTGTAGTCTTCACTTCACTAAACGACACACCCCCTGAGATAACTGCCTGGATTAACATACTTATTTTAACCCAAACCATGATCTAAATCTAACCAAACTGGACCCTTATGGTGGTATATCATATAGTAGGTGAATCCAATAGTACTACCGTAAATTAGCATTTTAGCATGCTCTCTCATCTAATTAGCGCTAAATACAAAGTACAGTTGATGTTGATGGGAATGTCATTCGTAGCAAAATTTGGCAGAGAAAAAGTCATAGGATAACCGAAGTCACTGGATTTAATGGTCAGGGGGTCATGTATGTCTGTCATCAGAGTGATGGACCGACAAACCGACCTACTGAATATTGCCCTACAATTACAGACAATATTTTATTTATCCTTTATTTAGCCAGGAAAGGCTATACAATCTCTTCATCAAGGGAGTCCTGAAATGATATTGGAAGCTATGACTAAACCAAACATGTGTTTAAATTCAGTTTGAGTCCAAGAACTCCACTTTATTAATTTCATCACAGTTGAGCCTGTCTTCCAGTGCTTAATTACTTTCAGGAGAGGGTCCCAGTCCTATTCCAGTGCTGTTGCTAGGTAACCAGTGATTCTATGCCAGTTCACCAGTAAAATATTAGATATTATCGTGTGTTTATAGCTTCCCAGTTCTGGAAAAAGAGGCAGACAGTTGTCTGTCACCAGCAAGACAACACTTTGGCTCTTGCTCAGAGAGGAATCCAAGCATCTTAGTGTGACAGACGGCGGTCTAGCAAGATCCACGTTTTAGCCACAACATGCTCATGTAGATTTAAAGGCTCACATTCACTAAACATCAACCTTTCTGATCATGGACAGCTTCTTGCCTAAAACAAGACCACTTCCCATCTAGTTTATTGTATCTCTCCCCTGGCAAATACAGCTCCCTACATTTTTCCATTGACACTCCTATACTGTCTGGAGTCTCCCTGTCATACAAGACTTCAGGGACACAGTCAGTTCTATACTTTAATACCAATACCAGTAATTATTAACAATGTAAGCATAGAAATTCCTATATTAGTTCAGTCATACATAAGTACAGGTTAACAGTTTAGAAATGCTTTTCTTCTGCATGTGTGCTCCTAAATGTTAGTTACTTGTAATAAAAGTGATCTAAGAATTTAGATGCTGCATTCTTTGAGGCTGGTTTTAATCATAGAGAGCATCGTGTTACATACACTAGTCCCTGGTAAAAAAAAAAAAAAAACCCATAATAAATCTAGCACAGGCTGAAAGCTCTTGAATTAACATGCAAATGAATACTTCATGAGTCATGAATTTACCTACATTAATATCAGAGAGAGATATAGAGAGAGATAGAGGAGAGAGAAGAGGGTTTGTTGAAGCCTGAGGCAGCAAACAGAGAAAGAGGAGAGGAGAGGAGTAGAGCATCGATGAGAAAGAGGAGGTCAAGATATAGGAGTGTGTACATACTTGTGTGTGTGTGTGTGTGTGTGTGTGTGAATGTAAATGTACGTGTGTGAGACATGCCTGCAGGCTGTGTTTTTAGAAAAGGGGGACAGCAGCGTGAGGTATTGGGCCACAGAGGAGCTTTACTCACTGTCAGCCTGCAGGCCTCAACACACACACACACACACACACACACACACACACACACACACACACACACACACACACACACACAAGGCTATGAATGATTGCAGTAGCCCACCCAGGAGAAAGTCTTTTCTTAAACACACAGCCTACTTTTACTCTCCCATCTGCTAGTATAATCTCTCTGGGACATAGATCATCTCCCAATATTAGACTGCATAATATGTGCTTCTTTCATAGAGTGCTTCTTTTAAGACTATTAGCTTTAGTCTGGAATAGCACCATGTCTTCATGTCTTTTTGCAGCATTAATCAATAAATATAATCAATAATTACCATTAACTTTACCTTTTGAATCTTTTATTTTTATTTATATGAATACGTTTGCCTAGTATTTTGTCATTATAACACAGACTATTAGCATTTTTTCCAACTTGTTTAGTGGTCTTGTGACCAAGAGGAGCTATTAATAATCTTTTGTCAAATGTCAGACATGTGTTGGCGTCTGTTGGAAAATCGATCAGTTATGTCACATGTTTGAGTGAGTATGTGCATTTCCAACGTGTCTTTGGTGCTCATATCTCGGTGTATATGTGTGTTACTAGGGACAGCAAGCTGACCATGTTGCTAAGGGAGTCGCTAGGCAACATGAACTGCCGGACCACCATGATTGCTCACATCTCTGCCTCACCCAGAGATTTCTCAGAAACCCTTTCCACCATCCAGATTGCTTCCCGCGTCCTCCGCATGAAAAAGAAGAAAACTAAAGTCACCGTGGTGAGTTTGAATCAAACCTTGATGCTTCATTAAAATTGGCAGATTGTTTCTATGAATCTCATGAAACTAAAACTTTAGGTACATTAAGTTCAAGATAAAGACAACTACAGTTACTGGCGACAATGCATGGCATGTTTTATTTTTGGAGTTAATGTGAAAATCTTTGTGTAACTAACCGCAAGTTGAAATTACTTTATTTGGAATGTCTGTGCTGAGTCGATTTCCAAATGTCATGCATTTTATCACCTCCTCTCCCTTTCCATCACATGTACGCTTAGTGCTGCTGACACCCTCTCTCATCTTTCACTTCTCATGTTCACTTATTTCAGAACTGTTCAGCTGAAGAAAAAGGAAAAGGGCTTCAGAGCTCTAAAAATAAAGCTCCAACTAGAGAAAACTGAAGTCATGAGTGCAAGTCTGTGACAGAAGTAGGAATAATTAAATTAAAGTTCTTATCTTAAATCTGTTACTTGGTTAGGCTGCACGTTGGTCCAGAATCTGTCTGGATGTCATCCTTTCCTCTCTCTTCCGACTCCCTCCGTTGTGAGCTGTCAATTAAAGGCTAAAAAAAAAAACACTCTCTGCGTATCTAAAAAGGGAATATATTTTCTCTCTCACCACCTTACACTGCCTTCTCTTTGCCTGTCTCTGTCTGTCCTCAGCAATATACCTCCAGCTCCTCTGGAGGAGAGAGCTCCTGTGAGGAGGGTCGTATGCGTCGTCCTACCCACCTGCGACCTTTCCATCACCGTGGTGACACTGACTCTGACCTCCCATTGCTGCGACTGTCCAGTGACCCTGACGAATACTCGAGCAGCGAGCAGTCATGTGACACGGTGATCTACGTGGGCCCGAACGGTGCTGCGGTGTCAGATAGAGAGCTGACGGACAATGAGGGACCACCAGAATTTGTACCAATTATTCCGGCTTTGCTTCGAGGTAAACCGTCAGAGCAGCAGCAAACACAAAGTCAGGCAGCTGGAGTCCAGAACAAGGTAATTTAAATATATTTACATTCAGAGTTCAGACAATCAGCAGTAATCAGAAAAATATGTGTTGTAAAAACACCGGTTGACTTACTTCTCTGTGATTTCTTCTAACAGGTGCAGTCTCAGCCAGAGGACCAGCCCAGTGGCCCCGTTCAGTCCCTCCCTCAGCCCTCTCAATCACTACTTGGACAGCCATTGGCCCCAGTCCCAGAGGAGGGAGCTGAGTGCCTAAAGTGCAACACCTTTGCTGAGCTGCAGGAGAGACTGGACTGCATTGATGGCAGCGAGGAGGTGAAGAGAGTTTTATGTCCCTCTTTTGTTGTAATTATCTGAAATTGTTCTGTCAGTGTGATGGCATCTGCATTTGATGGGGAGTTTGACATGTTGTTTGACGGGTTGAACATTTTCATCTATTCAAAGGGAAACAGAAGTTTTGTCTCTATCTGGCTCAAATGTTCTGCATGTATCTGCAGAACCTTATGATTGCTGTCTGTAGTGGCAATTTTCTGTCCCTTCAAATAAGCATCTGCTTTCAATTGAGTTATTTTATAACACAACTGAAAGCGTGTGTTTGAAAAGGCATTGCATTATCATTGTTAAAATATTGGTACAGGACCCTGTTATTTGCATGTCACTAATGCAGGTTTTTATGTTGTTAGCAGCTCAAATGATCTTGTTTATTCTCATTCCCATCTCACACTAAAGGCGACATGTGGAGAGCATCTCCTTTGTCAACAATCAAATCAGACTAACTCAGGTATTCTCATATGAAGAAACAAGGCTTTTTCTTGTTCATCCATCTCTTTGTCCCTTTGTTCAGGTGGCAAAGTTCCCCTTTGAAGAGGTTCCAGCCAGCAAACAAGGTGCCAAACAAGAGCCATGTCCATCTTCAGCCATCCCAACCTCAGCTCCTTCTGCTCCTGGCTCTGCTGCTATGTTGGATACAGAAACCAAAACAGGTTAATTCATTGATAATATATATAATATAGAATATACAGTATACAGATATTGTATACCAGCATCTTATCATTTGTGACCAAAACCTGGCTTTGAAGGCTTCTGCGGGCCAGTTTGACAACTGTAGCTCTGTAATTTAGCAACAATCAGGTCCCATTTTACAGTGTTGTAAAACATTGCTCTGTCAAACATCTCCAGGCTCTGCATGTGCTGTAGGAGGTGCAGTGCAGTCCTTCTCCTCCTCAGCAGCAGCAGCAGCAGCAGCAACCTCCAGGAGGAGGACCAATGACCAGCAGCTGCAGGAGATCAAGGAAGTGGTGGAGGAGGCGGAGCTGGCCCAGACAATGATCCACAATCTAGCTCAGAGTTCTGGTTCACCCATAGTTACGAGTGCCAGGAGTGTTACAGGAAGTAGCAGCATCACCTCTAACCCCCTGCACAGGGGCAAGAGCTCCCACCTGAATGACAGGTGAGGACACTCTTTCTTGCAAATGTTGCTAGAAGCCATTGGCAAGTATTTGCCTTTAACTCACAAGATGTTTTGGTTATTGTCTCTCTGATCAGCCGCGAGAGTTTGAATGCGGCCAGTAACACCGACGGGAAGGCACGCCCACTAGGATCACCACGCCTTGGCATTGCCAGCCTGACCAAAACCTCAGACTACAGGTACGCATTCATACACACGGGCGATAACTGTGGGCTTTTTTCCTTCTGTTCTGTTTCAGTAAAATGATTATTAACACATAAAAAAAACTGATGTTTCCATTATTACTGAATTGAATCATAAGCAGCAACAAAGGCACTGCTGGTGGGCTAATAAACAGTCTAAATGTGTAAGAAGACAGCCGCACAAAACACTGGCTCCATATTGTTTAATTCTGATGTTTCTCCTCAGGCCTCCGTCCTCTCCCTCCCAGCGGTGTAAAGTCTACACACAGAAGGGCGTGATGCCAGCAACACCCCCTCTGTCCTCATACACTCTGGCTCAAGACGGCCAGGCCACAGAAGCTTTGACCTCAGACAGTATGCATCTTTCTACGTGTTCATGCTTTAGAATTGAGCTTGTACTGAACCTCTAAATACATGTTTGATATTTATGATGATTAGTAACTTTTTCCATTTTTTGTTTCCTTTTCTTTCTTCTTTTTCTCTTATTAGTCTTACTTTGGCAAAGTTCAAGACCATTGCCACACTCAGTGGTGGAAGAATATCTAGATGTTTATATTTTATTAATTGATTTTCTGTTTTTCATATACTGTCATTAGTTTTGTAACACATGCTATGTCTGTTATTGGGCATCCTAACACGTATGTCTTCGTTCTTCAACTGTTAATCCCTCCCACAGGTAATGTTATTGCTGTTTTATACCAACATCTTGTCAAGGCGATAACAGAGTCTATGTAATTGTTTTGACGAATACAGTCAGTAAATAAACAGTAAAATACAGTCACACATTAAGTCACCTGAGCACAACACAGTTTATCTGCATAATAACAGGTGGTTCCAAATTGGCATCATAGTGTGATGCCAATTTTCTTGTATTCTGCACTTGGAAAATAACATTAATTACCACGCCAAATGTGTGTTTCTGATTCTGCAGACAGTTTGGCTGCAGACAGCGGCCGCTCCTCCACAGAGTCCCTGCTGTCCAGGACTTCTCCGGTGGGCATGAGCCCACAAGTCAGAGAGCCAACTCCATCTCTGTCTGCCAGCCTGGGCTCAGCTGAGACTCTCTGTGACGACGATGTCCCCCCGATACCATTGGACACGCACAGGGATGGTGAGTTGCAGTAAAGCACTGCTATTTTTACACAAGGAAAGGGGGTGAGTTGCAGAATAAGTCACATGAATCATATTCAAACCCTCAGAATTATGACGTGAAATATGCTGCACACAAAGCAAGAACAGGAAATGAACAAATTTGGTTTTCACACTCTCCTCCGCTTGCAGGACCAGCAGTATCTGTCGAAACAGTCAGTCCTCATTCACTTGGGGAGGATGAACTGGTATACACTGTGGCTTCTGGAGGTGTGGAGAACCTTGATCTTACAGCTCTCATGGAAACTCAGGGCCTGACCTGTCGTCCAACAAGCATCATCAGCTTCAACAGCGACCGCTGCTCTGTCACTGCCTTAACCTCGAGCTCTCAAGCTGTCAGCATCATCAGTGGTATTGCTGAGGATGGAACTGTGGGGGATTATCACATGCATGCAGGCCCTGCAACAAGCTCAGGGGTTACAGAGGTTGTTGCCATGGCAGAGGTTAGTGTGACTTACTTGCTTTGCATTTACAGTGACTAAGATCATTTGGAACGTAGATATGTGTCCTAAACTAAAGCTAATGTTCACACATAGCTGATTTGATATAATTTGAACCAAAATACAGAAAAATACCCACCATAGCAAAAGTAGCACACTAGGGTTGTGGGCCACTGAACACTGATGGAAAAATCTGTCTCATTACGGGATTCAGATTAAAAATTCAGATTCAAATTCACATATGAAGCAGATTTTTTTCTTTTTTTACAAAATGCTTTACAGAATTAGGAGTAAATTATGGTTGTTTGGATTTCAAGATGCCATACCTAATTGAATTATGTCCTGTCTTAGGTGGCCATGGCCAAGCTGCGGATGGAAGGTGAAGCCTTAGCCACAGTAATGTCTAACTGTGGTTCACCCATCTCCTCTTGGATGAGTGATCTTAGTGTGGGCAGTGAAGCTGACCAGTCTCTCCACAGCTTCAGTCAGTCCCAGAGCCAGCAAGGGGAGGCCCTGGCTGAACCTGAACCTAACCAGAGCCTTCCCTTTGGAGTGGAGGGGTTGGGTGGTTATGAAAGCTGTGGTAGTCCGAGAAGAGGGAGTCTGGAAGGGGAGGTGGTGCTGTCAGTAAACAAGAGCGACAAGGGAACTCCAACCAAAGACAGGCTAAGGAAACTGCCTCCCTCCATGGCTAAAACTAACATCCAAATCCTGGCTGGACCTGGTAACTTCTCTCCCTTCAAGACCACCATCAGTGTGCACCCATGTGTGGCTGTCAAACCCATGGTTTTACAGGAACCAACAATCCTCTCGTCACCTACCAAGACCAGCTTCATGAAAGACCATGGCAAGTTTAACGCACCACTTTTAGCTTCTATTTCCAGTGAGATGAGCTTTGAGGACCCCTGGTTGAAGCGAGGCATGGAGGAGGGGAGGTCCAGGGAGCTTGTGTGTGAAGTGAAGCCAGGGAAGAGGGAGGTGGAGCATTCAAAGAGCCAGGCTGGAGCTGGGACCAGGGACCACCAGAGCTTCTGCCAGGATGGTAAGCAGGGTTGGACTGGGATAATAATTCAGGATGGGAATGTAACATCAGTCCAGGCCAGTCAGTCAATTGCACTTCGATATTTAAGGCTACAGGAAAAAGTAATATATATAATTTTTGTACATGTATGAAGTTTCGAACAAAGTATCAGGAAGGGTAGTTGGAGTATAATGTTAATGCCGATGGAAAGAAACACGGAAATGTTGTTTCAAAGTAAAAGATTTGCAGGATTCTTAATTTTAACTGTGTGTTCTTTCTTATCTGCTATTCTTCCATCTCCAGGTGGAGATCATGGCAGCTCTAGTTCAGGTGGTGAGGTTGTGTCATCTCCAGATTCCTTTAAGAGAGTGGTGGATAGCTGTGAGATGGTTGCGGTTGTTGCCCAGGGAGAATACCTGACTAGTATGTACAGCCCAGATATCCACCGCACTGCCAGTCTTCCCCGCGGCTGGCACCGTCTCAACCGTCACGATGGCTTAGACAATGGAGTTGAGTATCGTAATCTTGGCGTCACCACTTCAACTCCCTGCAGCCCTCGCGCCACACTTGACCGCCGGGGATCAACTGGAAAACAGGGCATTTTCTCCCACAAGAAGGGGGGAATACCACCTCTGCCACCAGTACGGAAGTCCAGCCTCGACCAGCGGAACAGGGCAGCCAGCCCTCTCCACCAGCTCAACCACGGAATCTCATTACTGGGCAGCTCAACAGATGCTGCAGGGATATCTGGATGTGGCCCCGCAGGTGTCAGCAGACAACGAGGCTCCAGCATAGACAGCAGCAGACTTTTCAGTGCCAAGTTGGAACAGCTTGCAAACAGAACCAACTCTCTGGGTCGGGTCCACACCTCCCACAGTGGTTCGCACCACTACGACTGCTTCTCTCTGGAGAGGGGTGGCAGCCTGAGAGGGGGAGGAGGAGTGAGGGGGGACAGCACCATGCCTCGTACTGGGCGCAGCCTCACCCGTGCTGGATCAGTATCTTCTCCTACAGGAAACAACAGCAGCCCCAGTTTCAACACCAGTCCCGGGCCAAGCAGTGCTCCACAGTCACCAGCCAAAACCAGCAGCCAGTCAAAGATCTCAGCAGTTAGTAAGCTGCTGATGACCAGCAGTCCCAAGACCAGAAGTCTGTCTGCCTCCAGCACCAAGACTCTGAGCTTCTCCAACAAGTCCTTAAGCCAAGCTTCCAGTCGCAGCTCCAGCCTTCCTCCAAATGGAAAGGTAGGAGGGAAAGTTTCTTCACAGCAAATGTAAAAAGCAGAATACTGCTCATTAGATTAGGTGAACCACCCAATTTTAACAGCGACTATTAAACACAGAATACGTTCATCATTTACTCAATGCAAATAATTCAAGGGGTCATGGCTTCCATTCTTCCTTCCAATCACCGAACCGCCATTTATCTGTTTTCTCAGCCCCAGAGTTCAGTCCAGGGCCCTCTGCAGCAGCAAGGACCTTCCCCTGTAACCTGGTCTACCCAGTCTTTGAGCCGCAGTCGAGGGGGAAGCCTGGCTGCCAAGCTGCCTCTCCGGGCTGTCAACGGTCGAATCTCAGAACTCCTCCAGGGAAGTGCAGGCTCCCGTACTAGGAGTCATTCCCAGGGAGGAGGCACAGATCTAGCAGAGGAAAGAGGAGTTGGAGGGGCAAGGTTAGTTAGTTTTAATTTATTTATTTTGCAATCCAAGCATTTAATGAATCCTAAACAAAGAAAACTGTTCAGTTCAGTTCAACTTCCATCAGGGACTATTGTTTCATGTCATTCCCTCTGCTCTCTACTTTTATCCATTAACTAAAAAAGGTGGAAATAATTAGCTTATGGTTTCAACTCTTTTATCCTATGTTCCTGTTCTCAGTGGAGGAGGAGCTGGAGCAGGAGGTGGTGGTGGAGGTGCCCTGGGAGAGGAGAAGGCAGCAGTGGTCCAAACTCTCCCCTCTCCCTACAGCAAGATCACAGCTCCTAGAAAACCACACCGCTGCAGCAGCGGCCATGCAAGTGACAACAGGTATAAACTCACTGTAAAATCTGTAATTTTCACAAAACTCTTTTGGTGTTGCTTTGACCTATAACTGTCATCTGATTTGGACTTTAACAGCAGTGTACTGAGTGGTGAGCTCCCCCCGGCCATGGGGAAGACGGCCTTGTTTTACCACAGTGGGGGCAGCAGTGGCTATGAGAGCATGCTGAGAGACAGCAGCGAGAACACCGGAAGTACCTCCTCCGCTCAGGACTCTCTCAGTGAGCATAGTTCAGCCACCACCTCCTCCAGACGGAGCTCCAAGAGCAGCAAGAAGAGCAGGAGCAACACAGGTCACAATTAAACATTTAAAGCTACTTTCTAAGCATTACTTTAATGATATTTTTTACTGAATTGAATCATCAAGAAAGGCTATTTTTTTTTTATAGAGGGGTGAATTCATGTAATTTGCTTTAATCTGCAGAGCTAACCCTTAATTTAAATATGACAAAGCTATGAGTGTGGTCTGAATTAGAAAAGAAACCGAAAGCTAAGAAAGTAGGATAGAACTGATAGAAAGAAAGAGAAAGACCTTTATGAAAAATGATTACCAGGTAAGGGAAAAGTGAAGAAAGCTGTGGTTGCAGAAGGAGCCAGGTAGGAAAGGTGACCCTGACCATCCATCTGTGAAATGGTAAAGGGAATCTGCTGGTGTGGGCTGTAATGAATATATATTCACCAGAACGCCATACAGAGAGGCTGCTAATGCGCCTGCCATATTACACTCTACTGGTTAAGCATAAGGATGGATATGTGTATAAAATCAGATTAGACAGAGGCAGCTCTTCCTGGTGAGTTTAAATTGGAGTGACCCTTTGTGTGCTGGTTGCAGCCTCACCTCCTACCATGCAGCATGAAGTCTGGATTTACTCCCATTTTCCTTTAACAACAACTGATTCTGTGCTTCAAAGAGAGCATCGACTGTCAAACTGTCACAAGAAGACACAAAACCAAAAAGGATTACTCCATGTTTGTTGCACATGTTGAAGATGGATATGACAGTTCAGTCCCAATTCAGGCAGACAGAGCATAAATAGGAAGAGGAAGAAAGGGCAGATGTGCCACAGACTGTGGCAACCAAAATGTTAATCACATCTCCAGCTGAGTCTCTCTTTGTGCTTGATTTCCATTAGATTTAATTCACAAGCTCTCTCTCATTTTTTCTTCAAGGTCTCTTCCCCTGCTTTTCATCTATTCATCTCACATTTTCTACCTCATTTGTCCAACTCTCTCCTCTTGCACCGTCCCCTCCCTGCAGACCCTCAATCTTACCCCTTATATTCCGCTTCTTACTACGTAATGAAATACAAATGTCTCTGCTTGACCTGTCAGTGCCGCACTGAGACCAAAAGACAGCTGCAACCTTATTAAAATCACCACTGTCTCTCACTCTAACCTTATCTCTCAGTTCCTGTTCAATCTGATAACTCTCACTCCTGTCGACATGGCTGGCAATTTCTATGCAAAGTGTGTGTGCATGTATGAGTGTGTGTGTTCGTTCCAGTGTGGTGGGCAGATTAGAGAGTGACCTGCTGCTCTTATCTATGAGCTTCATGAACAAAGACTAAACTTTTTATCTTGCTTCACGCTCCATTATCTGTTTCTCATTCTCTTTCTCCTTTTTCAGCCACTCAGTACTTTTCTTTTGTTCTTTCCTTTCTGTCTCTCTCCAGGGATTCATCCATCTACCTCTCTTTTCTCTCCCACCCATCATGTCTTTCCTCAGCTTACAATATTTTGCTTTTATATTCATATCTCCCTTATTTCCCCTATAAGATACTTATTTTGATGCAAAGCAAATGGTAAAGAGTGAACAAGTACATTATGGGTTCCCTGTTGAACATGTGACCCCACCAGTATGTGGTATGTCAGATATGTTAGATTAAAGGTATAAATTGACATTTTAGGATGTTTGAGAGTTAGATAAGATGATCAATACAACTCTCATATATGTCATATATGTTTAATATAAGGTTATAGCCAGCAGACATTAGCTTAGCTTAGCTTAGCACAAAGACTGGAAACAGGGGGAAAATCTAGCCTGGCTCGGTCCAAATATAACAAAATCTGCTTACCAGCACCTCTAATGAAAATAAAGACGTTATATATTATTTAATATAGAAATATATGTATTTATTGTATATATATCTGTTGACCACTCGCAGTGACTTGACTTCCTGGTGCCTTGTTGTTGCTATGAGAGTGTATTTGTAAAGTTAAGTTAATTGGCTACTGGTTGGCCTTATGTTATGGTGATAATTCATGCTACTTGATAAATAAATAAGAGTGTAAATGAAGGGCTACTAACCGTGTATAGCACCAAATGTGTTTCTTTGTTTTTTTTTTTTTATTCTCTTTATTTTATTATTTATTTGTTCTTTCAGGCCTCCAGCGTCGTCGTCTGATCCCAGCACTGACCTTGGACTCTTCCACCTCCTCCCCTTCTCACCGCTCCTCCAAACAGACCATCACTTCCTCTTCTTCCTCTTCCTCCAGCCCAGGTGCATGCTGGGTAGATGGCCCATTAGGGCCCCCAGCTCCCTCAAACCTCCGGGCAGTGACTGCAACGACAGACACCTTTGAGATCAAAGTGTACGAGATAGATGACGTCGAGCGTCTGCAGAAGAGGAGAGACAAAGGAGGGAGCAAGGTGAGAGAGAGAAAGGATGTGGGTGAGGCTATGAGAATTACAGACATGGCAGGTACAGAACAGACTAAAATTCCCCAATCTCTGCAGGTAAAAGTAACTCATTCACATACAGTAAGGATAAAGTGAGGGAAAAGATAAGGGCTGTAACTGAAAAGGAGGGAGAAAGTCAGCATAACAGTATGGAGGAAAGTATTTGGAAAGAGGGAGCAAAGAAAACAGGAAAGGGTTAAATAAAGGATAATGCGTGTGAGGAGAATACACTGTATGGTAGGTTGAAGGAGCATAAGGAATGGATGTGGGGAGAAAATTAAAGAAGCTGGAGAGCCAAAGAGCAGAAAAGGAGGCCCAGGGGGCAGGAGGCATATTGCACTTGATGTCAGTGAAATTGATGTGATGAATAATAGTTGTGGGAGACATTCGAAAGCAATAAGTGTTCTGTTGGACACTGTTGTTGTAGGAGAACGAAAGGGGGGAGGAAGGGGAAGAGGAAAAGAGACTAAGGGATCTGAGCGTGTCAACGAGGAAAGGGACTTAAAAACAAACACTCAGTTTTAAAAATACAACAGATACAAGATATTTACTAAATGAATTAATCAACATTAGCACTACATTTTATATGAATAGTGAGCCAAATGAATCTACATTCGATTTCCCTCTGTGTTACTTTTAAAGTATCATTTTAGAAATGATTAAAAATTCCCAAGATTTAGCAGAATACAGAGTGGTACTGAACTCAAATGCAAATGAATGCACGGTGCAAGTTTTTGGGTTTCCACTCTTAAACCTTCATGTAGTCAGGGGAGGGATCATTGTGAGCTTTGGGGAAGACGACGGGAAAGAAAACCATGAAATATAGATTTTCCCTGCAGTGGCCTTAAGAAAGCCACTTAACCCCCCACTGTTCCGGTGAAGCTGCTCAGTGTCCGAAAGTACTCAAGTGCAGTCACACTGAGAGTCGATAAGGTGTGAATGCATGTAACTGTGTGAATGTTAAGCAGGCTGCTGCTGACAGAGAGCGACATGTGTTTCACAACACACTCCTCCGGATAAATGAATACAGGTGAATAAAATTGATACGTGTCTGTCTGTCTGTCCTCTGTCTGCGTGTCAGGAGGTGGTGTATGTCAGTGCCAAGCTCCGCCTGTTGGAGCATCGTCAGCAGAGAATTAGTGAAGTCAGAGCCAAGTACCAGTGTCTGAAGAAGGAGCTGGAACAAACCAAACAGTACCTGATGCTGGAGCCACACAAATGGACCACCGAGTGTAAGTGGGAGTCACATTAGGGAGTGTGTGTGTGTGTGTGTGTGTGTGTGTGTGTGTGTGTGTGTGTGTGTGTGTGTGTGTGTGTGTGTGTGACAGAGACAGCGTGTTGGGATGTACTATGTGTGTGTGTGTGTGTGGTATTAGGTATTCTACACTAGTAGTTCTCAACAGGTTAGAAAATGTTTTTATGAGATGATTGATTGAAAAACACAAACAATATCAAGTTATTAAGCATATTTTTCTGTAATGTGTGTAATGGCAGTTTCATCCATTTTTTATTTGTATAAAAAGAGACCTGTTCTTTATTTTGTAGCCTAAAAGGAAGGTTTAAAAAGAAAAAGGCTGATGTTATTCTATATTTCATCTTAATGTCAACCAATCTAATGGAAGTGAAACGACCAAAACCAACAAAGCATTAGAGTATGCATACTTTCCGACTTCCTTACCTTGTTTGTGAACTGCAGCCTCATTGGTTCTTTCTGAGCACTCATCTTCAAAATGAGTATAAATATATATTTTCATTTTTAAGGCAGGCTCAGTAAATTTCTAGAACAGTTGGGCACTTAAGTTTTTAGCAAACATTTCCCAAATAGGGGTAAATACCACATTTGTTTGTTAGGGATTATTTCCAGCTGCAGACTAACACACAGTTAATCACTGGTTTTGAACTTTCATTAGAATTTGTTGGCAATAGGAAAAATACAGAATATCACCAGACTTATCCATTAAAATTATTTATATAGTCATAAACAAAGTACATGTAACAGTGTTTTAGCAAAGTGTGTCATACCTTTTCTCTGCCTGTCGGTCCATATCCAGTTGAGCTACAGCAGGCCTACGAAGTGGACTCTCTGGAGTATTTGGAAGCTCTGGAGACTGTGACAGACAAACTGGAGACCAGAGTCAACTTCTGCAAAGCCCACCTCATGATGATCACCTGCTTTGACGTGTCCTCCAGACACCGGTAGACAGATGGAAGGACGGAGGGCTGGAGGACGGAGAGGCAGACACACAGCTGGACACAATTAGATGTCAACATTTGGACTTTTTGCCCCCTGATTAATCAAAGACCTTTAGAAAGTATCTCCTAAACTAATACATCTCATTGGATGGATGGATAGTTGGGAGACAGGGATGGACTGACTTGATCCTGCATGTCATCCTCCAAATGTAAGTAGGCAGAAGGACAGATGGATGCAGAGATGAAGGGATAAAAGGAATGGAGATCTATACAGATATCTAACAAGCCAACAAGCAGATAAGTCCGTAGTTTTTTTTTTCTTGGGGGCTTGGACACAAACTCAGAAGCAGACATTAATCAGCATCTAATGGATGGGCTTTGAGTCTGAAAAGAAACATCAAACATACCACACAGTTTCCAGATAAGTGAATAATTGGACTGCTGAGACACCTCTGAGACTGAGTCTGAGCAGAAGAAAGGAGTGGAGAGAGAGGAACACAAACTGCCATTTTTTAAACAAAAAGGATAAAGAAAAAGTGTAGGAGAGGAGAAGAACGATTTCCCATCTCCTATCGTTTTAGGAGAGCACTTGTTAGAGTTTACGAAGTCGAGAGCTGTTGGCAGAGTGCTCGCTACAGAATGGCCTGGTATTGTTGTTCAGTTAATAAAAGAGACTGACCAAGAGAAAGACAGGAGGACAAAGATAAATGATTTAGATAAGTGCCTTGTGAACATTTCAACAATACCAAGACCGATTCTCTTTCTCTCTGAATTTGTGTACTTGCAGTAAGTATGGTGCTAGCATAGAAATATAAAAAACCACAAAAGATCAGTGTCCTTGGAAAATCTTTGAATTTATAGCCATTTCTAAATGTGATGTTTTACTGTGGGTCAATGTTTCACTATATCATAAACAACTAATACTGTATGTTTGAATGGTCTTTGGTACAGTGAGGAGATAAGAGATTTTTAACTGGATCCCTAACTAAAAATGTTAAAGAAGACCTACGGAACATGGAGACTAACACCAAGTTCCCCTTAAAACAACAAACCTTGGCAAGGACCAAAAGTCAGATTTGAAAAACACACCCGATTTTTCCAGGACACAGAGTTATGTGTGTTTAAAACAAAGAAAAAAAGCACTAACTCTAGTTTGTTGTGGTGGTTGTTTTTACCTTGACTTCACTCACATACAGAGCACATCTGAATTTTGACCCTCTGAGGCATACATACATTTCCCCTGATACAGATGTGATGGCTTTTTCATGTTCACAAAGCAATGAAACGTCTGAGTCACACAAGAGTTGAAATGAAAATGTTTTTTCTCTGATCCAGTGTGAAGTACATCCATCGATTGACTTGACGGACTGTCAGACTGACTGACAGTTATTCTGTATGTTATTTGTATCTGTGTTGTTCTGCTCTATTCTAAAAGAAACTGAATGATTTGTCAATGTGTGTGTTTTATAATAAGGTATCCTTTTTTATTTGAGTGCAATGGGACCACGTAGAGACTATGTATGATAGTAGGCTCATGGAAATAGATTAAAGAGATATTTAAGAGTAAACTGTAAGGAGGACACAGGTACAAGATAAGCTCATTGATATACAGTGTTAAAGGCCTGTATTATTGGCACAAAGTAGTGAATTTAGACTGGAAATACTTATTTGGGACTTCAATTATGCTTACAAATGGGCTACTTACAGTAAATAGTTCCAGTATAGTCTTTTACTGAAAGGACACAGACGTTATAAAGGAACAACTAAAATATATATATTTAAAGGAATGAAAGAGAACTAAAGAAAGAAAAGGATGATGACCAAATTAAGAGGAAAAGATCTCTTCCTGGTTCCATTTTTTTTGGATGGATAGCAACACTTATGATTTGTTAATATTATTATCTATGGTGCTTGAGATGTTTATGATCTAAATGTTTGTACAAATATAAATATATGAAAGAGCCTGTTTCCCTCTGACATTCAGAACAATACCCTTCGAATGCTTCTTCTATATTGCCGTCATCACGTCTGTCACCACCCTCTCCTCTGAATGCCTTTTCCGCAGCAAGCAGAGAGCATTCTGGGAGATCCTGTTAGTTGTCTGAGAGGTAAAATGAGGAACAGACACCAACTGTAATGATATTGGTGTGATTTGTCAAAAGCATCGTAGTGCTAAATTTATCTTTATCCTAACAGAGCAAACTCAGTTCTTATCTTTTCCACTGGAGTGGCAGCAGGAAATAGGCAGGAAATGACTTTAAATGTTTTAAACGTCTCCTGGTTGACTGTAAAGAGGTGACAGTCATTCATTGTGTGTGGCGTACACCTGCAGTGTCAGCCACGGAAAATTACCCCTGAAACTAAGATGTTTTTGACAGACTGGACCAATGAAGCATTTTCACAGGAGACAGACAAAGTAGCCGTGTGACATCGCTGATCGTTTAAGTTCACCGTGCCAGTCATGAATGAAGGTTTATTTATTTGAGCTCAGGAGAGCAGAGTCGCTTATTATTATGTTCTTATTTATTTACACCTTCTGATCTTAAAAGTTACTATGCATTTAAGAAAAAGAAAAAAATAACTGTACATATTTTGCTGAGCCCATGTCATATATAAATATATATACTGTACACATATCATATATACGCTCATTTTTATTTTATATATTTTCTGTTTCTATTTCATTTGCTCCTGTTGTTCGTGTTGGAGATTGTAATGGGTTTGGGTTTCCTAAAACATTCACATCCAGGGTGGTTAATGTGGTTCAAGGAAGGTATTCGATTGAATACAGACCAGACTTTTTTTTTTTTTTTTTACATGTGATGAGGAAAACAGTTGAGTATGGAGACAACAGTGTTGTTCAGTAAAATGCCAGTATATTCGACACAACCATGTGTAATTAGCAGTGGATGTTTTGGGAACCCCAACCTCCGAATGAGCTAAACGGCCTGTACTTGTTTCCAGATTTCAGATGCTATGTGTGTCACTGCCAAATCTACTGTGGTAGCGCTTTATAATTCTAGCAATAATTGTGACAAACACTCAAGGTTTTGGTGGCCCCATATTGTTTAAAATAGTCCATGTAAACTTTTCAGGAATTAGCAAGCATGCTAAAAGGGATGCACTCACTTGTCTGGTGCTTTAAATAAAACTATTCACCGTTGTATCAGGTTGGAGAGCAAAAAAAAACACAGTCTAATGAACAAATTGACGTATGTGCTGTTACGTGTTTTTAGAATTATAATGTGTTATCTGGAAATCTGACACATAGCATCTTTAAGTTCTTAAGGAGTATTGAATAGTCTGGGTCAGACCACATTTTCCAAAAGCAGATTATATCAGTTGTAGTAAGACAACTTCTGATCAGTTGTAAGACAGTGGTTGCAAAATCTCTACATACCTGATTAAAACAAGTTTGAATGTGTCAGAGTGCCAATCTGTTAATTAAAAGAATGAGTTAATTAGGGTTACGACACGTCATCAGTGCAAACCAGAGAAGTGTGAGAGTTTCACTGTGTGTGTCGTCTCCATGATTCAAGACTGCAATCACCACGTCCTCTGCAGATTTACTGTTTTGGAGAAATGTGGTCCGACACATGGTGTTGATGGAAGAGCAAGATGGAGGGATGTAAATAAAGAAATGTATTGAAAGAGTTTCACATCTGATTTTTCGTTTTTTTAATGCAAAATAGTCAACAAAGCACCAGCCAGACAGCCGGTATGCAGTCTGTGCTAATCCCAATGAAATGCCCACATTTTGCATCATGGCTCAAACTCAAAAGATTTACTGAAAATATAGCTGCAGGCAGCTTTATAAGGTTTTATTCCACATTTTAATAACTACTGCCAATAAGATGAACATAAGTAAATGTTGAGTTATGTCTTATGTTTTTTCCACATCTCCTGTGTGCTTGCACAGTGGCCACATGGCTACAACATGAGAAAGTACTTTTGGTTTCATTGTAAAAGATATAATGCACACTCGTTATTCTACTGTCCCTGCAAAGCCTCAATGGTTCATTTGTTTCTTTTGTTTTTTTAAAATTTGTGATGAGCCAGTTATTTCTGCCAGATATGGCCAAAGCCTGTCATTCCTGTCTCTTCAATAGAATTCGAGAAAAGACTGATCAGCTCAGAGAAACTATTTCCTGTCTCAGTCAGCGGACTTTGCCTGGAAACTATAATCCTGTGATAGATGCTAACAGGTGAGATATATGTCACAAGTTTCCTTCCAAAATGATATATCTATACAAAAATGACCCCAACTCTCTCACAAGGACTTTTATTGGCTGATGAATTCTAGGTAGTGTTTCTAAAAGAGAAATACAGTAGAGGATTCTGAAAATAATCACATGAGGAAACATTAATGGCAGTCAGTCTGTATAGTGGAAAACACATTAACATATACCATGTCATTTTACATATAACGATAGGCATATCTGGCACCTGCTTTGTAGTAGATATCACTTAGCTTCCAATATTAGCTTCCAACGTGTGTGTGTGTGTGTGTGTGTGTGTGTGTGTGTGTGTGTGTGTGTGTGTGTGTGTGTGTGTGTGTGTGTGTGTGTGTGTGTGTGTCTCTACTAGCCTGTAGGCAGCTTTCTAGGTGACATATTGCCCTGTTGAGCCTGCTTTGATCACCCGTGCACAGCGGGGAACAGGAAGGAATGAGAGAAAGAGGGAGAGAATAGATGAGAGAGGAGAGGAGAACAAAGGTAGCAGAAGGGAAATGCAAGGTAAGAGAGACTATGTGGAGCTGAACTGGTGCAAGAGAAATAAGATGGGTGAGGTTAGTTTGGACAAAACAGGGAGACAAATTATTCAGGTAATAAAAAAACATAATTTGGAAAATGTAGCAAGATGATCTTCTGGGTAACGACAAATAATATGCAATCATCTCTCACCCAATAGTCTCTCTTTTCTAAACTCACCTCTCCCCTAAAATCATTAGGGCAAGAGAAAGACTTTAATTCCCTGTCTAGATATCAAAACTAATTTCCATGTTAAAGTCCAACATTCTTTGTTGTTCCTGAGATTGGTAGCCAATTTGTTAATTGCTTGGTCCACTAAGCCTTTGTCTTAAATCTTCTTTTTCCTCTCTAACTGCATAAAATAGCCATTTGTAATCAGGTGCCTTAGACCCCTTTAATATGTGCTGGTAAAGGTCTGTGTTTATCCCACTGATTACCTCTTCAATGTTATGTTCAATGGTGAATTTCACTTCTCTTCTATTTCCCCCTGTTCCTTTTGACTCATATTTCAAGCAGCTTAATTTTGCAGCAGAAAACAAAAACGAAAAGCTAAACAATGTGGTTTTCAACCAGTTCACATGTTAAATATATTCCCCTCTTAAGATGCAGACACTGCTAATGTGGTGGGTTATAATGCTTTTCTCCAGAAATACGCTTAGTTGTTGTAACTTAGCTGATTATACTAAGATGACGTGAAAAGTAAAAACATTTGGAACAGCTCTAAGAGACTAAGATTCTACAGCCAAGCTTGTAGCTCTGTGAGGCTGTACTTTAGGCACAGTGGTGCCAACTGCTGAACACTAAATGTAAAATACAACTGAGGGTAAAAGGAAAGTTTTGCAAGTATTGTCATAAACCAAAGTATTGGAAAAATAAAATTTTTGACCTGGTGATAGATCTAGATGAACGGTTATAAAGATGAAACTTTACATCATGGCAATCCATTCAAGGGTTGTTGAGACATTTCACTCAAAACCACAAGTGCCAACCTCATAGTGGCACTAGAGGAATGTCAGGCGTACCAGAGTAATTATAATTCACTATCTGGGGACCGTGAATGTGTGTAATGTGTGTAAAACTGGGTGCCAAGCCATCTTGTTGATATATTTCACTGCTGGCAGTGTTAAAGTCAGAAATTCACACATCAGCAGGAATTGTGCGGAGGAACAAATCAGGTGACCAGCAATCCATCCAATCTGGAACAAAATGGCGATGGCCTGACAGACTGACAGTCAACCGCCATCCCTTGAGCCATGCTAACAGGGGTAAAAATCTCTACACAAGAAACGTTAAGTAACTTTCAGTTCAAAGAAGGCTGATAATAAAGTTTCAGTGTGTGCAGGTAGCTGCAACAGAGGCCCTCTTCAGCTCAACAGTACTTTTTACGTTTTGAGAGCCTGCTCTGATAAGGAAAAAGCTCAATCAAAGATGAAAGAAAGACAGAGGGGAAGATGTGGGCTTAACATCGAGATATCTCGCTTTTTCATTCTAAAGTGAGATTACTTATGAATATATGGTAATATCCATCAACTCCTTATCACTGAACCCTCAAACACAGGAAGATAATCAAAAAATTATACCTGGGATAAAAATCTGCCGCCTCTGGCTGTTATTATATCTTGAAACAGCAGCATCTCTCTGTATAAGCAACAAGCAGCTGAGAGGGGAGAGGTAAAAGACAGATTCCTATCATGATTTTGACCTCTTAAAGGCTCAACTTGTAATTTTGTTAGTGGCAAATTCATCCGAAAAACATAAAAATACGGTACTAATGTCATAAAACCTGAAACAGAATTACCCAACTTAGATTCAGTTGACTTCAAATGTCAGCCTTCATTTTAGTGGTGTGTTTACATGTGGATTACAGATTAAGTAAAGGCACAATGAAAATGGACAGGGAAGATGTGAAGATAAACAGGGTGAGATAGGGAGAAATGATAGCATGGAGAGAGTAAAGAGAGTGTAAAGGTGAGGTGGTGTGGGAGACACACAGAGACAGTCTCTGAAATGAGAGTGAAAATTGAAAATGGGGGAGAGTGAATGGCGGGAGGGCGAGTGAATGAAGATCGGTTAAAACTACTCGGTGTCCTTTTTATGATTGGCTCAGGCTGCCTGCAGAGACACGCAGTGAACGAGAGAGAGGAGCCGCCACCGAATAGTGAATTTAATTTGAAAGCCTTTGGGGAGTGACAGAGACAGAAAAAGGGGGAGAAAAACAGTGAGTGACAGAGAGAGAAAGACAGAGGGTTACGGTTAAGCGGTAGCAAATCGAATTTGATGGCCATTAAGAGGTGTGAGAAGAGGGTGAGGAGAGAGTGCAAGACAGAAAGCAACAGAGCCAATGAAGGGAGTAATGGAGGTAGGAACAGCAGTACTGTACAGCAGGACAGACCATTCAGTCCCCTACTGTCATTACTACATTACTCCATTCAGTCTTCACATTCATTTCATTTAATCTCTGCGAGATACAATTAACAAAAGCCTTTTCTATTTTTATCCACACATCCATCCATTCTCTGCCATTTATCAGGGAACAGGTTGCGGTGGCAGCAAGGCAGTCCAGACATTCCTCTCCCCTGCAATGTTTTCCACCTCCTCTTGGGGGATCCTGAGGCGTTCCCAAACCAGATGAGCTATATAATCTCCCCAATGTGTTCTGGGTCTCCCTCTGGTTTTCCTACCAGTTGGATGTGCCCAGAAAACTTGCAAAGTAAGGATGCATCCTGATCAGATGCCCGAACCACCTGAGCTGGCTTCTTTTGGCATCTCTACTCTGAGCTCTGAGCACCTCACCCTATCTCTAAGGGGGAGCCCAGCCACCTTATGGAGGAAACATTTTGGCTGCTTGTATCTCATTTTCTAAGTCACTACCAAAAGCTCATGACCACAGGTGGGGGACTAAGGGGTGAAAGTTTTGCCTTCCCACTTTAGCTCTCTCTTCACCACTAAGGTACAACTTCTTCACTATAACTTACCTGTCGATCTTACGCTCCATTTTACCCTCACTTGTGAACAAGACTCCAAGATACTTCAAGTAACTCACTCTTAACAATTCACCGGAGAACCACGGCCTCAGAATTGGGGGTGCCTTGACCTCAAATTGCCTCAATGGATTCTGGAAGTCACTATCTGATGAAGCCAACAGAACCACAAGAACACAGATGGAGTTTCCCTAAACCAGACATTTTCCTCCCCTCGTTGCGCACTGAGATCCTGTCCAAGAAAATCACAAACAGAATCAGTGTCAAAGGACATCGCTGGTGGAGCCCAACACCCACTGAAAATGTGTTCGACTTCCGACCAAGAATGCACAAACACTTCTTATTACTGCCATCATTTCTCTAATTATAGCAAATAAATAAAAAATAAAAATATTGTGTCAAAGAATGTTGTTACTGAATAACTCTGAACAGAAAGAGAATACTTCACTGCTGACTGTGAAGGATGAAATATTTGGGGTTTTCTATATCGGTTATTCAAATATCGAGAGAGCAAAAAGTGTCAGAAGAGCAAAACCTTGTATTTGTAACCTTAAAGGAACCATTTTATCACTCTAATCCTCCCATAACCCATAGAAACACACACACACACACACACACACACACACACACACACACACACACACACACACACACACACACACACACACACACACACACACACACACACACACACACACACACACAGGTTATCCCTCTCAGAGGAAATGCTGTCATCAGTTTGCAAATGGTAGAATTTTGGGATTAACATGGGAAGTGTGTGTGTGTGTGTGTGGGAAACACATTACCACATTCCATCACAGACACACTCTGGGCTTATCTTTGCAGTCACACACTGACAGAGTAACACACAACAACAGGGATTAACATGGGAAGTGTGTGTGATGGATATGTATAGAGGAAA